ATATATATATATATAATTTAAAAATACTAAAATATTGAAGTAATGTCAAATTAAAATTGTAATATAACATAAATCTAAAAATACATCAATTTTTTTAATTTGTAATAGGAAACTATGATGACTCCGCGCTCCAGGAAGCCTGTAATGATTGTTTCAACTTCAAATTTATGCAATCTCGTCACTGGCAGCAATAATTGCGATTTACGTGGACCCAATCTAGATATGGTTAGTACAATAAATAATTGTGCTTCCATTTTAGAGGAATCTCAAACATACAGCAGTACAGATAATGCGTTAGCTTATACAAAAGATGTCAAGAATAAAGAAAATAAATTAGACACGCTCGAGAAACATAGCTGTATACAATCTGTTGCAAACTGTTGCACCTGTATGCAACAAAGTTCAATGTCCATAACGAGCACGTTCAGGGAATATCTATTGTCAAGAAGTGTATTAACCGCCAGTCCTGTCGATCTCAGTTTTACATCGCGGACAGGAGACTTTGAGCAATCGGAATCCGATTTGAATATATTAAATGACGATACTTTGTCTGATAGTTTATTGTGTTGCTTGGACGGTAATCAACCAGAATCTGATACTTCCGGCATTGCGTCTGGCAGCACGAATAGTGCAAATAATTCCACTGAGAAAACAGAGGAATTGTCTTCTCCGAGAAAACGAGGAACCAGCTTACAACGAAATGATTCTAAAAAATCCGCGAGAGAAAGTGTGGTCAAGAGTACAAGAAGCGAAGAGTGCAAACATAAACTGCGCGACGAGTCGACATTAAAGCCAACAAAAAGCTTGAAAGATAGCTTTCAAGAGACATCATTTTAAGCTATCCATACAAATTATTTAATTATTAATATTAATATATCGTTAAGTTTAAATAGATTTCTCTGTATGTATACTAAGACTAAGGAGAGTTGCCAATTAAGTTTATCAGTACGACTTTATGCAGAGAGTTTCACATAATTGGACAGAGCTATTTATTTAAGGCAACTTGAATAACAAAAATGTCAGAAGGAAAATGGAATGATTTTAGATATTTCATATTTTTACATTACGTTCATACATTTTTGTGCATAAATGCTATTATAAAGTGCAGTTGCGCTTAAAATAAAATTCCATATTTTTAGATACACTAATTAAAGCAGTTTTCCTGCTTTATAAAAAATTATTATAAAGTT